GTTGCCATGGCACCCTCGGGGACGGCAGAGATACTGGTGAGGAAGACAAGCAGGATGAAGATAGGTGGGCACACTGCCTCTGCAAAGGCAGGGCACGGCTGGGGCAGGTCTGAGGCCCTCTGGCAGCAGGCAGGGGCCATCCCTGCTCCTCTCCCAGGACTGGCAAACCAGAGCTGGCACCGCCACGCTCCCCTCCCTGCTGGGGCATCTCCCACCCCATGGACACCTGGGAGCTGCTGAGGCCAGGCTGGTGCAGCAGGAAAGGGGATTCTTGGGTTTTAACATCTTCAAGGATAGGTCATTCGTGCTTTCCAGCCAGGACCAGCCAGCCTGGGGTCCAGCACGGGGTGAGAACTCACAGCAGCAGCAAGGGGGCCAGAGCACCAAGGGGCTCCTGTGCAGGAGGGGGCTCCCCAGCCCTTGCTTCCAGCATTCTCCTAATTGCAATCATCAGGGACCCAGGACCTTCCTTTTTCCCCACAAGCACCTCCTCCCTCCCTGTCACCATCCCTGACCCCTCTGGGGTACCCTGGGGGCAGAGCAGACCCCCTCAGCTGGGGGATGTGGGGGCTTCCCCTGGGCAGCCTGGGCTCCTCCTGCCACCACAGCTTGTCTCTTCCAAATGTGTGAGTTTCAGGGGTTTATTTTTAAGGTGTTTACTTTGTCAAGGTGTTTATATTATGTTGGTGTTAGGAGTTAATGTGTTTATTTTTGACAAGTAAGCTGGTGTGCTCATGCATCAGAAAATGGACAGATAAACACATTTTTAGGGGGTTTATGGCCAGTTTAGACAGGTACTGCAGAGTGTCTGTGTTACCAAGTCAGGAGGAACCTGCCATAAGATTTGCCAAATGCTCCCTAACATATAACTGACTTAATTTCTCTGCTGACTCTGATTCTCATTGTCATCATCTCTGAATGAAGAGCGCTGCAATATTAGATTATATGTTATTAATCACAAGGGAAATTTCCCCAAATGTTAACGTGATAGGGGGTGTGATGACAAACCCCCTCAGAGCTGTGATGGTCTGCAGAAGTGCAGGACCCTGGGGGTCAGGGTGGTGGTCGGGGGCATCTGTGACCCTTTTCCCCTTCCTGTGGATTCCCTCTCGGCTGGGACTGCTCCGAAAGAGGCACGGAGGAAGGTGGAGGAGGCTGCTGGGCAGCAGGCTCTTGCCCAGCTGCGAGACCCGGGGCCGAAGGGGGGCCAGAGAGGCGGCGCTGCTGCTTGTGCGGGTACATCGCCCTACACCGGGGGCAGCGCTGCCCGGGGAGCAGCCAGCGGGACCCCAGCCCGTCCTGCACGGCGCGGAGCCCTCCTGTGCCCCAGGGCGCCCTCGGGCTCTGCCGGGTGTGCGCCCGAGCCGCGGAGTCATGGACATCACAGGGGGCTTGGGGCCGCGATCCCCCCTGCTCCAGGTGGGGAGAGCTGCGGGCTCAGAGCTCTTCGGGGTCTGGGGGACCCCAGGAGCAGGGTGGGACACGCACAGACACCCCCACGGGTGGGCAAAGATGGACAGAGATCCCGCAGCGTCCTGCAGCCCCCCGCACACGGACAGAGACCCTACAGCCCCCCGCACACGGACAGAGACCCTACAGACCCCCGCAAACCCGAGCACACAGACGTTACAGCCCCCCGCACAGTGAAACAGACCCTGCAGAGCCCCCCACACGGACAGAGACCGTACAGACCCCCGCAGCTCCGAGCACACAGGGGTCTGGGGGACCCCAGGAGCAGGGTGGGACACGCACAGACACCCCCACGGGTGGGCAAAGATGGACAGAGATCCCGCAGCGTCCTGCAGCCCCCCGCACACGGACAGAGACCCTACAGCCCCCCGCAGCCCCGAGCACACAGACGTTACAGCCCCCCGCACAGTGAAACAGACCCTGCAGAGCCCCCCACACGGACAGAGACCGTACAGACCCCCGCAGCTCCGAGCACACAGGTACAGACTTTGCAGACCCTACACACCCTACAGAACCCCGCAGCCCCCTGCACATAGATACAGACCCTACAGACCCCCCGCACACGGACGCAGACCCTGCAGACCGCTGTCTACAGACCCTGCAGCCCCCTGCAGCCCCCAGCACACAGACACAGACCCTACAGACCCTGAAGCCCCCCGCACACGGACACCCCCGCCCGCCGCTCCCCGCACCCACCTGCGGGCGGACGCGCCGCCCCCCCGCGCCCTCCTCCTCGCGCAGCGCCGGGCACCGGCACCGGCACCGGCACAGACACCCGGCACTGACACCGGCACCGGGCACGGGGCAGCGGCACCAGCCCCGGAGAGCGGCAGCGGCCGCCGCCACGGGCACCGGCAGCAGGTACCGGGCGGGGCAGCCACCCCAGCATCCCCACCGCAGCCGGGGGCGGCGGCGGCAGCGGGGTGGCCGCGGCTGGGAGGGGAGCGGGGACACCGGTCCCGGGGGCAGTGGGGGAGAGCCCCCGCCCGGGTGTCCCCCGGGTCCGAGGGTCCCCACGGGAAGGGGCCGTGGGCAGCCCCCGGGCAGGGAGCGGTACCGTGGGCGCCTTGGGAGGGGCTGGGAGCAGTGCGAGCACTGACCGCCGGTCCAGGGGCCGCAGCATCCCATGCAGGGCACGGAGCGGTGGGGAAGGGCCGGGAGGCTGGTGCCCTCTCCAGGGGCACTCTGCGGGCACCGGCTGCTCAGGGCTCCGGGAACGCTCTGAGGAGTGAGACGGGAGCGGGGGGCAGCGGGGGTGGGTGGCAGCGGGGCCAGTGGGGCGGTAGGAGCAGGGGGCGGTAGAAACACAAAAGGCAGCATGACTGTGGCTGCTTGTGCTTCCCTCCGGCAGTGAGGAGGCAGAGATCCGGCTCCAGCCCAGGCAGCCCTCGGGGAAGTTCACACAGTCTCCAGCGGGCTTGGTGCTGTGGCTCCCCAGACACAGCAGACCGGCAGAGACCACCAGAAACTCTCTGATCTCCTGGGGAAACCACGGCAGTTGTCTGCACAAGGTGGGCGGGCACGGCCGCGGGGACAGTGGGACGGGGGGCAGTGCCTGGAGCTCGGCATCCCGGGACGGCAGGGACGGAGCAGCCGGGCTCACCTCTTCTCCGTGGGCCCCCCACAGGCAGCAGTGCCACCAGCCAGCGGGAAGCAGCGGCCATGGATGAAGTGACGGAGCTGGAGTTGGGGGGCAACTCCCTGCTGAAGGCCGTGTGGCTCGGCCGGCTGCGGCTGACACGGCTGCTGCTGGAAGGGGGGGCTTACATCAACGAGAGCAACGAGAAGGGCGAGACCGCGCTGATGGTGGCCTGCATCACCACGCACGTCGACCAGCAGAGCATCCACAAGGCCAAGATGGTGAAGTACCTGCTGGACAACAGAGCCGACCCCAACATCCAGGACAAGTCTGGGAAGACCGCCCTCATGCACGCCTGCATCCGGGGGGCTGGGGGGGACGTGGTGTCCCTGCTGCTGGAGAGCGGGGCAGACCCCAGCCTGGAGGACCACTCGGGAGCCTCGGCGCTGGTCCACGCCATCAACGCCGAGGACAAGGCTGTGCTGCAGCACCTCCTGAATGCCTGCAGAGCCAAGGGGAAGGAGGTGATCATCATCACCATGGACACATCAGCCTCCGGTACCAAGACCGCCAAGCAGTACCTGAACGTCGCCCCTGCGCTGGAGTTCAAGGAGAAGGCTCCCCTCGAGGAGAGCACAGCCCCCTCCAGTGCCCAGCTGAAAATTCCCATCTCAGCACCTTCCCCTGCCGAGAAGGAGAGCAGCGTTCTCACCGCGCACCCTCCTCACACGGGGGACGCTGAGCCACCCTCGCCGGGCCGCAGGGCTGGCGCTGCCCGCAGAGCCCACCTGCCCCGCCTGAAGCGGCTGCGCTCCGAGCCCTGGGGGCTGGTGGCACCCTCGGTGCTGGCGGCCTCCAGCCACCGCGACGACACGCGGGTCTGCGCCGACACCGAGCTCATCACGGGCATCGGCGACCTCTCGCTGTCCAAAAAGCCCCCCCTCACCCGGAGCAGCAGCAGCAAGGGGAGGGACCCCTCTCTCTTCCCCCCAGTGGATGAGCAGGCGCTGGGGCCGCTGGCATGGAAAGGCAGCCACGAGAAGAGCCCAGGCACCCACCCGTGCCTGTCCCGGAGCACCGCGGTGCCGGAGGAGCCGGAGAGCAGCGGCTCGGCGGCGGGGATGGACACCCCACACCGGCGGAGGCCCGGCAGCGAGCACAACGGGGACTCGCAGCTCAGCGAGGCGGGGAAGGCGCCGCCCGAGAGGCGCAAGCTGAGCGGGTCGCAGCTGGCCTTGCTGGACGGCTGCTGCGACTCTCCCTCCGGCAGCGCCAGCGCATCGCCCAGCACCGGCCGGCGCCGCCCGCCCGGCTTGCTGGAGAGGCGAGGATCCGGGACGCTGCTGCTGGACCACATCTCCCACACGAGGCCAGGATATCTGCCCCCCTTGAATGTGAACCCCAACCCCCCGATCCCGGACATTGGCTCCGGCAAAGCCCCCTCCCCGCTGGCGGCTGGGCTGAAGCCGCTGGTGCCCCTCACACCCAGCTCGCCCCGGCGGGGGGATCGCAGAGCCCACAGGAAGCTCCTCCGCAGGCATTCCATGCAGGCCGAGCAGATGCGGCACCTCTCCGATTTTGAGGAGGTCGTGGCGCAGTAGCCGGGCCGCCGTTTGCTCACACGGAGTGGCCAAAGCCGTGCTGTCCCCGCAGGGACAGAGTGGGTGCTGGCTCCGGGGACACTCTGGTGGCCAGGGGGCTCGGCCCGAGCCCAGGGGCTGATTCGGGAGCGGGCTGATCGGGAGATCGATCCCCGCCGTCCTAGATCGCCAAGCCCGGTGCCAAGGATCCCACCTGCAGTTCACTTATTCCTACTTGCAATCCGCTTTTCTCACACCCTGCTCGTTCTCCCACCGAATCCCGGCCCGGAGCCCACGCTGGTAACCTCTGGGGCCGAGGCGTTCATGGAGCGCCTTCCAGGAGGGGAAGGGGCTCGAGGAGCGGAACACCCATGCAGCCACGGGCCGTGCCGGTGCTCTCCGGGGGCGGGAGAGGGAGACAGTGCTCCACCTCCGCGATTCCCGAGCGCGCCGAGCTCCGGCGGCTGAGCTCGCCCGGCAGCGCTGCAGCCGCGCCGGCTGTGGGCCGGGACGGGCTTGTCTCGACTCTGAAGCGCCTGGACCTCACTGCCCGCCACACCTGGATTCAGGAGCTCTGAGTTCAGGGAGCGCTGACCCCCCGAGCAGGATGGTCCCAGCCCGGCTGCGTGGGTAGCCTCTGCCAGCCGCGGGCAACCCGGGATGCCAGCTGGCCGCGGGTGACACGGGCTGACCCCCGGGCTCCATCCCACCGCGAAAGTCGCAGGATCGGCGCCGCAGCCAAGAGCCCGCGGCCCCAGCCCCGCGCAGCCCCACGCGCGCTGTGCCGGCCGTGGCTCCCGCAGACCCCACCGCTCCGTGACCGCGCTCATCCCGAGCCTGCGTGTGCACGGCTGCGGGGCACGGGTCGGGGTGGCGCCCCGGCCCTGCGGACACTTCTGCACGGATTTTGCACTGCATTAATAAAGCGCTCATCTCTGGACGGAGGCTGATCTCGCGTGGAGCCGGCTCCAGCCGCCCGGCCAGCGGCTCCGGGAGCGCGCAGGGGGTGGCCGGGGCTGCCGAGTGCCCGGCCCGGGATGCCGGGGGCTCCCAGGGCGCCGGGCCGGCGGAACGCGCCGGGGGGTGCCGGTGCGGTGCCGGTGCGGGGCCAGGGCCGGTGCGGGTCGCGATGCCGGGCGCGGTGCGGACGCTGTGCCTGGCCGCGCTGCTGGGCGCGCTGGGGGCCGGCGGCACGGAGCTGACGCTGGAGCTGCCCGACAGCGCCCAGCGCTGCTTCCACCAGGAGCTGGAGAGCGGCGTCAAGATCACCCTCGACTACCAGGTACCACCCTGCCTGTACCTTCCCGCAGCCCTGCATGCTCCGTGCCTGCACCCCCTGCCCAGACCCCTGCCAGGGCCCCCTCCACCCGGGCCCTGTTTGTGCCCCATCCCTGTGCCCCAGTGCCCGTGCCCCCTTGCCCACAGCCCTGCCCGTGTGTGTGCCATTGCCTCTGCCCATGCCACCTGCCCGTGCCTCCCCACGCTCCCATCCTGTGCCCGGCAGAGCCCCAGGCAGGGCTGCAGTTCCACCCCAGCTCCCTCCATGCTGCACTAGGAGCTGTTCCCAACCCCAGCCCCGTGCCCAGCAGCGTCCACCTGAGAGCCAGGCCTGGGATGTGCCCACTTCAGCCATGGACAGGCCTGACCTGGGCCATGAGGGCTGTCCCTGTCTCCAGGCACCCCACCTGAGCCATGGGCACCCAGCTGAGTTGCCAGCACTGTGATGCCCAGCTTCCCCAGGGCTCCCCTGGCCTGGGCCCCATCCCGTGGGCACGGTGCCCGCTGGCCTCTCACACACACACAGCCGTGGGGCTGGGCAGGGGCAGGGGGCCCTTGCCACGTCGCTTGGTGTGTGCCACCATCAGAGATGCATCTCCCTCCACAGGTGATCAGCGGAGGACACTATGATGTGGACTGCTACGTGGAGGACCCCAACGGCAAGACCATCTACCAGGAGACCAAGAAGCAGTACGACAGCTTCTCGCACCACACCGAGGTCAAGGGTGTCTACACCTTCTGCTTCAGCAACGAGTTCTCCACCTTCTCCCACAAGATTGTCTACTTCGACTTCCAGGTGGGCGACGAGCCGCCCATCCTGCCTGACATGAACAACCGCGTCACTGCCCTGACACAGGTGGGTCCCGGGAGGGAGGATGGGTCCTGTCACAGCCCCCAAACAGCCTTGCGGGATGGCAGTTGGGGACTTGTCCCCCTCTTTCTCCACTGGATGCAGAAGTGCCAACCGCCAGCCACCAGCCCCACCACACACCACATCCTGTGGCTGGCTCACGGCCCTGTGCTGGCTCTGGGCTCCCCTCTCTGCAGCAGCCCCTGTCCATCCCTGTGAGGGAATTGCATCAGCCATTCCATCCCTCGGGGTGAGCTCTGGGCTGGGCACCCGGGTGCTCTCGTGGGCCTCTCAGCCCTGTCCCAGTGGGGAACCACCCTGCGTGGGTTCTGGCAGGGAACCTGCTACACCAGCCCTGCTCTTGAGTGTCCTGGCACGGCCCCGCAGCTGAGCCGTGTCAGAAGCGACAGGGGGCTCTTGTCCTTGTCCCCAGCTGGAATCCGCCTGTGTCACCATCCACGAGATGCTGAAGGCGGTGATCGACTCCCAGACCCACTACCGGCTGCGGGAGGCGCAGGACCGCAGCAGGGCCGAGGAGCTCAACGGGCGCGTCTCCTACTGGTCGGTGGGGGAAACCCTCATCCTCTTCGTGGTCAGCATCGGCCAGGTGATGCTGCTCAAGAGCTTCTTCACCGAGAAGAGACCCAGCAGCGGCGGAGCTGGCACCTAGAGCTGTGTGTCTGTGCCTGAGTGGAGCAGGCAGTGGGACAGCCGGGGCTGCTCTGTGCCGTGGGCAGGCGGGGGGTGGGAGCAGGGGGTGACACTGCTCAGCTGGGTGACACAGCCACCCAAGAGCAGGCGTCCCCCGGCATCACCTCCCACTTGCCATGGCCCGGCCTACCCTGTCCCCTCGCCTGGGCGCCCTGTCCCCCTCTCTGGCTGCACTGGAAGCGGGTGGGAGCAGCACCAGCACGGCACTGGGGCACCCTCGTGACTGGGACGTGACTGGGACGTGACCACACACTGCCCCTGAAGCCCTGTGCAGCCACCCAGGGCAGGGGCAGCGCCGGCACCCACCCAGTGCCCTCAGCCCGAGGAGAGCTGCCCTGGGCTGGGGGTCTCTGTCTGCACCCAGCTGTCCTGGGGCGGGCACGGTGCTCGCAGCAGCGGGGCCGCAGCAGCAGCAGCAGCACCCAGCAAGGGAAGGCTTTGTCTGGGTGGTGCTCTGGCTCTGCCAGCTCCTCCCCTCGCCGCAGTTCTCAGGCTGGCAGCAGGGGGTGTGCCCGTACCAGGTGGTATTTTCATCCTCACACGAGGCCGTGCCTGAGACTCAGCCCCCTCACACATTCCCCCACCCTGTGGACACGTGCCAAGGAAGCCCCATCCCTGCCCCAGAAGCACGGAGGACTCACGCCTGGGACTGCAGCCCCCATTCCCTGGAGCCCCACAGGACCCCTGGAGTGACTGTGTGCTGGCCCTCCAGCCCTCAAGCAGGTGTGAGATCATTTTTCAGAGCTGAAGCAACTCCGCTAGATTTTTCCTTTGCCACTTTCAAATAAATCCCTGCAAGCGTGGCTGGCACTGCCGTTATTGGGTACAGCTTCTGCCTTGCCCCCTGCCCACACCAGCTGAGCTTGCCCCTGGCCCAGGAGCAGGCGCTGGAGCCAGAGCCCCCTCGGCAGGAGCAGCAGCCCTGTCTGTGCCCCAGCGTGGGATGGGGTTCAGGGCTTGGGATGGGGTTCCCACTGCCAGTGGGGATCCCCAGGCACAGCCCGGCTCTGGGGTCCCTTCCCTGAGGCTGGGGGGATGCCAGGGCAGTTCTCCTGGGCTGTCCCTGACTCGGGCAGTGCTGCTGGTGCTGGGGGCAATGAGGAGCCTCAGCCCTCGCCACCTCTGCGGGCCCCAGCAGCCGTGCTGGCCTTGGGGCAGCTGCTGCAGGCGGCAGGACTGGCCCTGTGTGCCTCCCAACAGCCTTGGGCCCGAGCCAGGAGCTCCTGTTTGGAGCACAGCCGGCAGCAGCAGTGCCCTGGGACTGCCACCAGCCCTGGCAGGGACAGCCCTGTGCCTGCGGTGGGGATGAACAGGGAGGGAAGGGCCCTGCCCTGGCCAGGCTGGGATGGCCTGGAATCTGCCCCTTCCTGGGGGCTCCTGAGCCACCCACGGTGGGGACAGGGGCAGCTGTGACCCCCGTGGGTCAGGGTGCTGGCTCTGGGGACACGGGAGGGACAAGAGGTGGCCATTGGACACTTTATTGCTGTTCAGGGCACAGAGAAGGGAGAGGGGACAGGGGCACGCCCCCCGCCCCAAGCCTGCAGGGGCACTTTGGGGTGCAGGGAGAGCAGCAGTGACACCATCCCCACGGACCTGTGCTGACCCGGTCACCCTGCTGCCAGCCGCCCCTGCCCTGAGCACCCCGCTGGTGTCACAGGGAGCTGCTGTGACAGGAGGGGTCCCTGGCAGCCCCTCGGGGCCGGCGCAGCCCCGGGGCTCCCCGCTGGGGCGGCAGCGAGGAGGCTGAGCAGCGGAAGGAGCCGGTGGCTGGGGAGGGGGGCTGGGCCAGGGGGCCGTGCCTGCAAGGGCACCCCCAGCCCCCCCGGAGGGGGATGGTGAAGAGCCCGTAGGTGATGGGGTCCAGGCACGCGTTGAACAGGCCAAAGATGAAGAGGATGTGGGTGAGGGCCGGTGAGATCCTCTTCTCCATGGCGCGGGGGCAGAACCAGTGCCAGAGCCCCAGCAGGTAGTAGGGGGTCCAGCAGAGGATGAAGGAGGAGACGATGACCAGGCTCATGCGCAGCATCCGCAGCCGGGCCCGCGGGATGTTGTTCCTGGAGCACCGCAGCGACGCGTCCTGCGAGGAGACTGCAGGGGAAAGGGGGCTGGGACGGGGGCCCCGTGCCCTGGGGGAGGGCTGGGGGTCCCTACAGAGCTCCAGGCAGGACCTGCCCTGGGCAGGGGGCTGTGTCCGTGGGCACTCACAGAGGCCCGAGCCCATGCGGCGGGAGATCTCCAGCAGGATGCGCGCGTAGCAGCAGACCATGATGAGCAGAGGCAGCAGGAAGAGGCAGGCAAAGCCCACCATGTTGTAGAGGGTCTCGTGCCAGGCCCGGGGGAAGCTGCCGCGCGTGGTGCACTGGGTGAAGTTGTGCGGGGGGCGCAGGGTGATGGTGTGGAACAGGAACAGCTGCAGACAAGAGAGCTGGGCTGGGGGTGAGGGAGGTCTGTGCCTCCCGAGCCAGGGCGGGCACTGGAGGCCAAAGCAGGGACCCCCAGACCCAGCCTGGGGGGTGGGTTACCCCCCTGCAGCGGCTCTGCTCCGCACTGACAGGGGCCGGGGGCATCACTGCCACAGCCACTCCACTGCCAGCTCTCCGTGCCCATCCGCGGGCTCTCCATCCCTGCCCTGCGGGTCACACCGGCCCTGCAGCGAGCCCGGACTGTGCCTCCAGCCTGTGGGCTGGGGGGTCTGTCAGCAGAGGGGCCCGGCTGGGTACCTGCGGCACGGCCAGCGCGGCGCTGAGGAGCCAGGCCGCGTGCAGCATGGCGCGGTTGCGGGCGCGGGCGCGCGCGATGGCCAGCGGGCGCAGGATGGCGGCCTGCCGGTCCAGGCTGATGACCACGGTGACGAAGGCCGAGGCGTACATGGCCAGCAGGCGCAGGTACATGAGCAGGCGGCAGGCCAGGTCGCCCGCCCGCCACTGCAGCGTGATGTTCCAGACGGCGTCCAGCGGCATCACCAGCACGGCCAGCAGCAGGTCGGCGGCGGCCAGGTGCCGCAGCAGCAGGCGGATGTGGGGGCGCCGGCCGCTGCCCCGGCCCCCCACCGCCCGCAGCACCGCCAGGTTGCAGCCGGCCGAGAGGGCGAACAGGGCGAAGGTGACGGCCACGCGCACCTGGGCGGCCGGCGAGAAGGTGGGCAGCCGCGGGGGCTCCTCGCCCCTCTCCTCGGGGGGGCTCCAGGCGCAGCCCCACTCGGGGGGCGTCGTGCCGGGGGGCTCCACGCTGGTGTTTCCCACGGCAGGGTCCGGGTCTGGGTGGTCCCCACCTGCCACGACAGGCAGAGGGGCAGTGGCAGCCCTGAGGTGGGGGCTCTGGGTGGGGCAGGCCACACTCAGCACTGTGGGTCCTGTCCCCTAGAGCCCCCTGCCCAGGGCGATGGTGCCGACATCGCGTTTCTGAGCTCACTTCCCTGTGTTCCATCCTTGCCTGCTCGCTGCATCCTGCTGCTACCCCTGGGCCTCCAGCAGCCCCCAAAGCCCCTCCACGCCCCAGAGCTATGGGGGTCCCCGCACCAAGCAGGGCAGAGGAAGACAATGGCAGCTGACCCAAAGGCCACCCACCTCAGGCCATTACTGCTGTGCCCCTCCGTGCCCAGAGCACCCCGCATGATCCTGCCTGGGGAGGCGACCCCACCCACCCAACAATGACACCTGGAGCACCAGACACCCCATTCCCCCCTGCTCACCTGCGTCCAGGGCGTCCTGCCCGGCATTCCCCAGCCAGGCCATGGCAGGGCTGGTGCTCACACAGTGCCGAGGCTCTGTGCTCAGGGCTCCTGCATCTGCTCGGGGCACAAGGGGGAGCAGGGCAGGTAGCGGGGCAGGTACTGCAGAGAGGCAGCACCTGCTGCTGCAGCTGCTGTGGCGTGGGCGCCCTTGGCAGCTCTGAATGGTCCTTGACGCAGCCAGCACTCGGAACAGCACGGTCCTTCCCCTGCCACCCACAGCACACGGGCACACGTCAGCGTGCGTGGGGCTCACACGCAGGAATGGACAGTGGGATGTGCCCCACATCTGTGGCAGGGAGCCCCCTGCCCAGGGGGTGCTGCTGGTGCCCCCCAGGTCTGGCACTGCTGCTGCCACAGCCAGGTACCAGAGCACACGAGGGCTCCTTGCATTGAGGTGCAGCATTTGGGGGGCTCAGAGACCCACAGGTCCCTCCTCCCAGCCCTGCCACTGCCAGCTGCTCCCCCAGACTGTGGTCATCCCCATGGCAGTGTCCCCACGGCTGGAGCACGTGCCCTGGTCCCTTCAGCCCTGGCTGGGGAGCAGGACTGCCGCCTAAGACAGGGCAGGCCAGGGGGCTGCTTTGCATCTCAAAGGCTTGTGTCCCGTTCTGTCACGCCCCTCCTCGGACCCAGCAGAGGATATTAACCTCATTAGAGAGTCCTTTCACACTCCATGGGGTTCATTAACCCCCCGCCCTTCACCCCAGACCCCAGAGCTGGGAGGACACTCCCCTGACACATTAGCACATGGCTGCTAGGTCCCAACACCCTCCTGCTAATGGGGACCCCAGACTTCAGGGAGCCACCAAGGGTGGGGGCATAGGGTCCCCTTCACCAGCTCCTGGCAGGGTCTCCAGCTCATGGGCTCAGGCCCATGCCCACACCGAGCTAGACTCCAAATTTTCCCATCTCACTCTGCCTTGGGAGCTCCCACAGGCCCAGAACTGCCAGGGGAAGGCTGGATCTGGAGGCTGCTGGGGCTCCTCAGCCCTTCCTGGCTGGGGGTCAGGCCCAGGGCAAGGGGAGCATCTCTCTTGATCCTCCCCAAGTTTCTCTCCCAGCCTGTGCCTGGCTGCCCCTCAGCCCCAGCCCTGCAGCCCAGAGAGGAGAGCCCAGGCAAGCCAAACGCCATTGCGAGCCCAGCTCCTGGGAACAGGCACACGGACACTCAGAGAGGGCACAAGGGTTTATTCACATCCAGCCGCCGCCACCCGGCGCGTCCAGCACGGCTCCGGGCTCCGACGGGGCAGCTCGTTCCTGCAGCTGTCCCAAGGCCAGCGTGTCCCCAAGCTGCAGGGCTCCAGACGGGCATCGGGGTGCTCCAGGCCCGGGGACTCACCCGGGTCAGTGCCGGGGCTGTGCTGGGAACAGGGCCTCCAGCAGGGAGAGCAGGTCCGCAGAGAGATCCTGGGGGGCAGACAGGGAGAGAGAGGGTGAGCAGCCACGCAGAGCTGCAGGCAGGGCTGGGGTCATGGCAGTGACAGCCCACCCACTGAAGGGCTCCTGGGCAGGGACAAGCAGGACAAGGGACTCCATTCTGTCCCACTAATGGGATACCCCCAAACAGGAGGGAGGGAAGCACCAGGAAGGATGGGGCAGGCAGGGGGATCCACCTCAGCCACTGCACGGAGCAGGGCTCACCTCTCCATCCCCAACCCCAGACAAGGCTGTTGCTACCCCAAAACCAGTTCCTGCACTGCCCCACACCAAGAGGACTCTGAGGCTGCCCCAAGGGGGGTTGATCCCTGCCCCACACCATCCCCATGCTGAGTCACCCAAACCCCAGCAGCACGTACCTGGGTGACTGTCCCTGTGCCCACGATCTCTGACAGCACCAGTCCCGTGTCCAGGACATCACCAGGGAGATCCGGGGGGGCCACAGCCCCTGCAGAGTGGGGAGGGGTCAGCCAGGGTGACGCAGGGGAGGTGACAGCCTTGTTCAGCTCTGAGGAGGTCCCCATGGCAGCCATGTAGGGGGGTGGCCCCCAGGTCTCCGTCTGGATGTTGGGAACCCCAAGAACCTCTGGAGGGGTCCCGGTTGCAGGGATGTAGGAGGGAGACCCCCAGGTCTCCATTCCGATGTTGGGACCCCCAAGTGCATCTGGGAGGGTCCCTGCAGCAGGGGTGTAGGGGGGTGACCCCCAGGTCTCTAACGCCAGCTCTGGACCCCCAAGCACCTCTGGGGCAGTGCCCGCAGCAGGGCTGCAGAGAGGCGACCCCCAGGCCGTCCCCAAGCCGGGGGCCCCGTGCAGCTCCGGGGGCATCCCCGCCACGGCGGGTGAGCCCCAGCCCGCGGCGCCGGGCGGCGAAGCATCGCGGGGCTCCGTGTCCTGGCAGCACCCCAGGCCCCGGGGACACAGGGGACAGTGTCGGGGGGCCGGCGCGCCGCGGCCGAGCCCCAGCAGGGCGGAGAGGTGGGCGATGTAGCGGGTGGCGAGGCGCAGGGTCTCGATCTTGGTGAGGGTCTGCCCGGCGGGCGCCAGCGCGGGCGGCAGGTAGTGCCGCAGCCGCAGCAGGGCCTGCGCCAGCCGCCGCATCCGCAGCTTCTCCCGCTCGCTGGCGCTCTGCCGCGGGACCCCCGCCGCCCCGCCGCCCCGCGGCCCCTTCCTGCCCCTGGGGCGGGGGGCGGCGTGCGCTCGGCGATGCGGGCCGGCGGGGCGGCGGGCAGCGTGCGGCCGTGGGCCATGGCGGGGCCGGGGCTGGCAGCGGTGTGCCGCGGCTCCCAGCGCCCCGGCTTTATGCCGGCCCGGAGGTGTGAAGAGGCACCTTCGCGGCTGCCGCACTTCAAAGGCCGGGGGTGCCGGGGGGGCCCGGGCCGCGGCTGTGAACGCGGGGTGACGAATTTCACCCCCGAGGTGTGAAGCTGCTCGGTGCTGCCCCTCGGCCCCGAGCGGGGCGGGGGCCGGGGCCGGGACCCTCCCGGGAGCGGCAGCGGGGTCTCGGCAGCTCTGCCGGGGGAGCCGCAGCGGGGCTGCAGCGGGGTGCCCTGGGGGCGTTTTGGGGCTCTCATGGGGCTTCAGTGGGGCTTGCAGTGGGTCTGCGGTGGCGTGTCCCTGCGTCTCCCCCTGTAGCACAGGGAGCTGCCCCTGTGGCTTTGTGGGACACCCCCCGCCCGGTTTGGGGGTGCGGGGTCCCTGACGGACCCCTCGGGCTGGCCGGGGCTGGCAGCGGCGGGAGAGCCCCCACGGGCGTGCAGGGCCGGGCCGGGCTGGGAGGAGCCCCCCCGGCGCGTTCCCAGGCCCCGCAGGTGTCGGGGCCGGCGGGTGTGAAGGTTTCCCGGGAAACGGCCCCGCCGAGGGACGGAAAATCCATCAGGGAGCAAGGGGACACGGGCACGGCACGGCACGGGCCCCGGAGCTGGTGTGCACAGCCTGCTCTGGGGTACATCTGGGGGCACAGGACCCCCGAACTGGGCGTGCACAGCCCGCTGGCACTGCGGGGCGCAGGACCCCCCAAAGGGGGCGTGAGGAGCCCGGGGAACATGAGGGGCACAGGATCCCCGCAGAGCTGGGGGCACAGCCGAGGGGACACAGCCGGGGACACAGGACCCCAGACCGTGTGTGCGCGTCTGAGCAGCGCCCGCACTGACCCACCAGGGCCAGCCCCATCCCAGCACCCAGCCCGGTCTGGGGGCGCAGGGGGTCTGAGGGGAGACCTGCACCCCACGGCCCGGCCAGGCACGGCCCCTTCCCCGCTGCCGGCCCCCTCCTGGGCCGCATTAGCTGATGAGCTCCCGGGTAATGAGTTCTGCACCCGCCGCAGCCGCTTCCCACCTCCCTGTTTGGACAAGTGCGGCTGGGCTGGGGCAGCGCCGGCCGCGGGGTCAGAGCCCCCGCAGGGTTGGGAAAATCTTTAATTCTGACAAAGAGTGTTTAATCTTGTGAATTCCTTTCGCTTCAGCCAGAAGTCCTGTATTAATGTGGGCAAGTGGTTATCTTAGCCTTAAAGGCTGTGGACCAACACTGGTAAGAAGATGTATCCAGACCACAGAGCTGGGATGTATTCAAAGAGAAGAAATTTTTTTGGTTTTGGCCTATGACCAAAACCAGATAATTTGAGGAATAGGGTGTTCCCCAAAAGAGACCAGAGACCTTCAAACATCCCTACTCTTATGTGAATAAGCTCCACAAAGTAATATAAATATGCCAAAGGGTTTGTGGGACTGTTTAGCATACGTGTATGAGTTTTGGGAAATGTAATTAATAACTTACAAAGACTTAAACTAGTCTGTTAGCCAGCTGTGGTATAGGTAGCAGGAGACATGCTCTGCACACCCAGCACTGAAATGAAGTAATGCTACTTTCTAATACTGAAATTAGAGTGTTAGAGGGTTTGATTCCCAAAATCTGGTGACAGCAGGACACCCTGCAGCCCCTCAACCCGGGAGCAGGGTGGGTTCCCCCATCCCTTCAGACCCTATCAGGGGAGCAGGGTACAGGCCATGAGGGCACCACGACAGAGCTCAGCCAGTGCCCAGCTCAGGCTGTGCCCCCGGGAGCCCCCAGCCCTCCTGCCCTGCTGGGACCCTGCCGGAACACCTCCCTGCCCACTGGGGACCTGTCATCCCTGGTCAGACCCTGTGTGGTTTCTGTGTTTGTCCCTCTGTCTGGGACGGGCAGCGCTCACAGGGACACTGCCCGGGGCTGCGGGGCCAGGAGCAGCCCGGCCAGTGCCGGGATGTCTCTGGGAAGGGAGACCCCGGCCCCCCACCCCCTGCCCCTTAGGGCCGTCAGCCTGAGGCAGAGCTCACACAGCGCCCGGAGCCGGGGCTGGGAGCTGGGCAGAGGGCAGGGAGCTGCCCAGGGGACTCTGCCGGGTGCCAGGGCCGGCGGCTCGGGGTCCGGCGCTGGAAGGTCAAGTCCCGGGCTGGGCTGCCGCCGGCAGGGCGGCCGTGCGGGAGGTGCGGTGCGGGGAGGTGCGGTGCGGTGCGGTGCTGCGGGGCTGGCGGCACGTTAGCATCTCTCACGGCCGTGTGAATGGGTCCCCACACACTTCCCAGCGCCGGCAGGGCCAATTAAGGACCGAAGGAGTCAGATCTGACACCTCTGCAAATGGGCCCGGCATTCCCAGGCTCCTGCCGCCCGCCCGGAGCGGGGCGAGGCTGGGGGAGCTCGATACCTCCAGGAGGGCGCAGAGGCATCGCCCCGCACCCCCGGCCCAAATAAAGCCGGGGTTACCCCCAGACGGGGCCCGCAGAACAGTGTCCAGCCAGGGCCAGACACAGCCGAACCCCCAGCTCCTTCGGCAGAGTCCCCCTGCGTCCCCTCGGGGCAGGAGGGCTGCGGCACTGCCTGCCCGCACCAGGATCGAGACCCTGCACCTCTCCGCCCTGCTGGGGCTCGGCCGGGGGCGCCGGCCCCCCGACACTGTCCCCTGTGTCCCCGGGGTGCTGCCAGGACACGGAGCCCCGCGATGCTTCGCCGCCCGGCGCCGCGGGCTGGGGCTCACCCGCCGTGGCGGGGATGCCCCGGAGCTGCACGGGGCTCCCTGCATGGGGACAGGTGCCTGGGGGTCCCCTCTCTGCAGCCCTGCTGCAGGCACTGCCCCAGAGGTGCTCGGGGGTCCGGAGCTGGATATGGGGTCATCCCCTACACCCCAGATCCTCCCGGAGCTCCAGAGGATTCCCAGCCACACTGCCCTGGAGCCTCCCCACAGACGTGCCACAGCCACGGCTAATAGGGCACCTTCCTGCTGCTGCTGGGAGCCTCCAGGGCAGGACTGATGGCCACAGGCAGCACAGGATCCCTGCACCTGGGTGCCAGCTGCCCACACATCACCAGGCACCCAAAGACCCTCCCCGGCCCAGCCCCTGCAGTCCCTGGGCTGGGGTGGAGGATGGTCCTCGTGGGGTGGGTGGCAGGGGCTGCAGGGTGGGGTGTCCCACAGCCACTCACTTCACACAGCTCAGCCCACATGGCTCAGCAGCCCCTGGGCCCCAGCCAGGCTCACCCTCGCAGCTCCTGCTGCTGCCTCTCCTGCCCAGCTGCACCCCAGCAGCTGTGGGGCTGGAGCTGCCTGCACCCCTGGACACAGAGCCCACACAGGCACGGTGGCATGGCAGTGGGGCAGTGGGATGGCCATGGGTTGGTGGCACAGCCATGACACAAAGCTGCACAGGATGGGACAGACACCAGGACCCTCACTAAAGCTGCCCTGCAGAGCTGCTCCCCCATTCCTGACTGCGGGACCTGCACCCCAGCACAGGGTGGGCTGGGAGCACCCTTCAGCCTGGCACGCCACACACACTGCCAGGTGCTGCCCCGGGCCGGCAGCTCGGTGCCCACTGCCAGCCCAGACGTGTCCCAGGGCTGAGGTGGCAGAGGGACTCACCGCCGAGGCTGTCCCCAGCCCCACTGGCCCGCAGCTCCCACCTGCCTGGGGTCCCCTCCCTTCCCTGAGCCCAAAGGCAGCTCCGTCCCTGCAGGCCCCTCAGGGACAGTCCCTGCTACCTGTCACAGCCTAGCCCTGCCCGAGCCTGCAGCACCTGCCCAGGGCAGCGCGGGCAGAGGGGTCCTGGTGCCAGCCCCCTGAGCAGGGCCCAGCAGGAGAGCTCACACGCAGCTGTCAGACAGAGGGGCTGGGGGCTGGCGTCAGCGAAGCCCCCAGAGCCACTTAGCACCAGGCTCCTAACAGCCGGGGGCTCCCAGCCCCGGGCCTGCCCGGCCCCTGGCGCTCCCCACCCAGTCTGTCAGAGTCCCCACAGCACGGCCCGGCCCGCAGGGTGGCCCTGGAAACCAGGCATTTATTTACACCCCCGAGCGCACCGGCCCGCCCTCCCCCTGCCAAGCCCCCGAGTCCCCAGTGCCCATCATGCAGGCGTCAGCCCCTCCCTGGCAGGGCGGGGGGTGCAGGGGCTCTGCCGCGGCCGCGGCTCCGTGCCGGTGGCCGGGGAAGCGCAGGAGGCGCCTGTTATCCGCTCTTGGTCTCATTCTCAAACCAGGCCAGCACCGTGGCCCGGTTCTCCTCCACCCACTTGATGTTAGCGCGGGTCTGCTCCAGCGCCTGCTCCAGCGCCCGCGTCCCCGACCCAAACCCGATGTCCTCGTTGTCCTTCTTGAACTGCTCCAGCTGCCAGGCAGAGACGGGGCTGGAGCAGGCAGGGCAGATCCCAGCAGCTCCCAGCACCATTGGACACCCCCAGGAACACCCCTGGGAGCACTCCAGCCTCTGGGAGCACTCCAGCACCACCCCAGCATCTCTCAGCTGCTGCCTGGCAGGACACCAACAGCCCCCAGGAGCACCCCAATAGCCTCTGTGAGCCCCCAGCACCACTCCAGCCGCCCCCAACACCACCCAACATCATCCTGACAGCCCCAACAGCACCCTGAGAGCCCCCAGCACCATCTCAGAAGCCTCCAAGAGCACCCCAACAGCCTCCAGCAGCCCATGCAGCATCCCAACAGCCCCCAGGAGCACTCTGACAGCCCCTGGGCATCGCTGCCACCCTCCCAGCAGGCACCCAGCAGCCTGGGACAGGGACAGAAGCCTCTTGCACCCCTGGGCACACAAGGGGCAGGAAATCCCCTCTCAGGGGCTGCTGGCAAAGGGCAGTGCTGCCAAGGCTGGGGTCCCTGGTCCCCTGGCTCCTGCCAGGGTCCAGCCTCACCTGTTGCAGCTCAAACTCTGAGGAGAAGCGCTGGGTCACAGATAAAATCAGGCGGGAGAAGGAGAAGGAGCCGCCCCCGTACCTGGGAGAGCAGAAGTGTGCTCAGCCAGGGCAGGGGGCAGGGGACAGGGGACAGGGGAAGGGACAGTGGCACCCTCCAGGGGCGCAGGCAGGCACGGTGCCCCCAGCCCCCGCGGTGCTCACTGGGTGAAGAGCGTCCTCCAGTTGCCTCGGATGAAGTCCCAGGCCAGGGGCTGCCCCACGACGTTGCTGGCAATGCTGTTGATGGTGGAGGTGGCATCCTGCTTCCGGATCTTTGTAGGGTCGAGCGTGTACTGCAGGTACCTGCAGGGGCACGACGAGGGGTGAGGGGCTGGCAGGGGCCATGAGCAGGGTGATGGGCTCACAGCAGTGCCAGCCAGACCCCACACGCACCGGTTGAGGATCCAGGGGTGCGGGCTGCAGGAGAGGGCCGTGCGGAGCTTGTCAGCCTCAGACACCACATGGGCCTCCCTGAACTTCTGCCAGAGGAAATCCCAGGCATCCTCCCCGCCCGTGGCCACCATGCTGCAGTAGATGGCTGAGCGCAGGTTCGCGGGGACCCTGTTGGGGTAAGAGCTGTCAGTGCCAGGCGCCCCTCGCCGTGCCCATCCCACCACACACAGCACCGGGGTCCCAGGGCTCACGGGTTGGTGGTGCTATTCTGCCACTGGCGCAAGTAGTCAATGGCCAAATTCTGGCAAGCAGTGACACCGAAGGAGCAGGCGGTGCTGATGGCATTGGCCTCGTTGTACCTGGGGAGAGAGGCCGTGAGGGCTGGGGTCTGGCACAGGGCACCCACCGGTCAGTGCCAGCTGGGGGCTGGGCTGTGCCCTGTGCCCTGTACCCAGCGCACTCAGGGAGACCCCAGGGACCCAGCCCAGCCCCAGGGCCACGGTACTCACTGGACCATCAGTGGGTAGTCACTGAAGATATCCGTCCAGTTATTGGTGAGCTTCTGGTAGTGCTCGAAGAGAGGAGTCACCTGCTTCTTTATGTATTTCTGGGGGCAAGAGGGAGTCAGTGCCCAGTGACACTGGCAGCAGCCCCCACACCACCCTGGGGGCAATCCTGGCCCCTCACGCCCAGCACGGGGGGCTGGCACCACTCACCGACATGGCCCCAAAGACCTCGCTGCGGTCAAACATCTGCTTGAAGTACTTGAGGTTGGTGAGTGCTGCCTGCCAGGGCATGTATTCCGTCTCCTGGCTCAGGAACCGTGTCGTGTCCAGAGCCAAGGTCACATTGACGTACTTGGCCCTGTCAGCGGTGAGGGCAGCGTCACCTCTCCAGCCTCACTGCCCACCCCAGAGCACCCACCCCACCCAGCCCCTCATGCCAGTGGCACCCAGACCACCAGGCAGGGCTCACCTGGCCAGGTTAAAGGCGTCGTCAATGATCTGGGCACGGTTGATCAGAGGGAAGACCTGAGAGAGCAAAGTCAGTGTCTCAGGGCAGCCTGAGTGGGGTGGTGTGAATGGAGTCCCACACCACAGCCCTCAGCACCCCATGTACCGTGTGGTTAGTGTCAAGCTGCTTGAGGAGCTGATCCCAGTTCTCCTGGTTGTAATTGACACGGAAGTACCCAGTGACATTGAGGTTCAGCAGGAGCCAGTCAGGGGTGTTGAGGCTGAAGTTGCCGTTGGTGGCTGGGAAAGGGACAGGAGGCTTTGCCAGAGCTGCATCCCCCCACGCCAGGGAGGACCAGGCTCAGCCCCCACCACCACTGCCTCCCTGGGAACCCCGAGCAGTGCCATAGCAGTGGAAGTGACAGCAAGACCCCCACTCACGGCCAGGACGTGCCATACCTGTGACTTGGGTCAGCCAGTAGGTGCTGTTCCCCCGGCCACTGCCTGTCATCCAGGTGATGGGGACAATCCAGGTGTAGCTGCGCCGTGGACAGACAGGTGGTGGGACTGGCCCTCATCCCCTGACCCCTCAGTTCCCAGCCAGCCCCGCCACACTCACTTGAAAACAGAGGGTCTGTCCACAGGAGATGTGGGGTCCAGCAGAAAATGGGCCTGGCTGATGGTGCCGCTGCGGGTGTCAACAGTCACCAGAGGGAAGCCCATCTGCAGCGTCCAGCGGTCCATGATGTTGCTGATAGTGTCAGGCAGCTGGACTCCGTTCTTGTCCACCGCCTGCGGGGATGGCAGTGCCACCGGTCACCAGGGCCAGGGGCACAGCCAGCGTGGGGCTTGGCCAGCGCTGCAACCCTCACCCAGCATGGGGGACCCTGCCACACCTGGCAGCCCCCCAGAGCCAGGGCCGGGGATGCTGCAGGAGCACCAGCCCTCTCACCTGTTGCAGATGGACCCAGAGGTCAGTGTAGATGGTGTTGCTGTAGGAGAAGGTGTGGAGGTAGGACTGTGGGAGAGCACCAGGAGAGACGGGTGAGCAAGGACAAATCTGGGGTGTGGGACCCCCCTAGAGCAGCCAGGAAGGTCTCTACCATGGGATGCCCACCCTGCACTGGGCTCGCTGCCCCCAGTACCAGCAGCACCTCACCTGCAGCCCCTCCTTGAAGATGTCCTCACTAAGGAAGCTTGAGAGCATCCGCAGCACCGATGCTCCCTGCAGGGACAGCAGGTCAGAGAAGGCAGGGACACCCCGGAGTCCATCCCCACCCAGGGACCCCCGTGCACACCTTGCTGTAGGCGATGGTGTCGAAGACTTCACTGATCTGGGCTGGGGTGTTGATCTCGTCCTCGCGGAAGGAGAGCGGGTGGGAGCTGGCCAGGGCGTCTGTGGCCATCACCGTATGCAGCTCGTTCAGCACCATCAGGTCTTTCTGCAGAGGGGGCACCGGCACCCTCCTCAGCCCCGGTGTACCGCCTGCCACCGGGGCAGCCCCGGGGTGCCCGTTCCCCTGCCTGCCCCACGCCCCTCGGCCCTGGCACTCACAATGTTCCAGTCGGGCTCAGCAGAGTCAGCACCCAGGTACTCCACGTACGAGGCGAAGCCCTCGTTCAGCCACAGGTCGTTCCACCACCGCAGCGTCACCAAATTCCCAAACCACTGCAGAGGGCACAGCACTCCCTCAGCCGCCCGCCGTCAGCCAGGGCGGTGGGCGAGGGGCGCAGCGGGTACCTGGTGTGCCAGCTCGTGGGCGATGACGGTCACCACCCGCTCCTTGTTGCCGATGGAGGAGTAGTTAGCATCAAAGAGCAGCGAGTTCTCCCGGTAGGTCACCAGCCCCCAGTTCTCCATCGCGCCCGCATTGAAATCGGGGAGGCCAACCTGGTCTGGGGGTGGAGGACTCGGTCAGTGCCCAGCTGACGGCACGCTGGACCATCTTGTCCCCTGCCTGGGCACCTCAACCCAGTGCCCCGGGCACCCTGCAGCACCCACCGGACTTCGGGAGCGGGTAGGCCGTGTTGTAATGCTTCTCAAAGAAGCTGAGGATGGGGCCAGTGACATTGAGTGCGTAGTCACCCTGGCCCTCATCGATGGCTTTGGGGCGGCCCCAGATGCGAATCTGGAGAGGAGGGATGCAGGACTCATCAGTGGCCCAGGCTCAGCCACCCAGGTGGGCAGGGGGTGCACCCCACCCCATCCTACCAGTGTTCCCTCCGAGCTGTTGTCCACGGAGGTGAACTGGCTGACAATGAATGCCAGAAGGTACGTGGACATCCGGGGAGTGGTGTAAAACTCAGTGACATTCCAGATTTCTCCATCAATCTCCAGCTCGCTGGTGTCTGTGGAGATCACAGAATCACCCCACAGCCCTGCCTGACCCCCAGCCCCCCAGTGGGGTCCCCCCGCCCCACTCACTTTTGGCAGGCATGTTGGAAATGGCCTTGTAGCCGGAGGGGTGGATCAGTGTCACTGAGAAGTTGGCTTTCATGGCTGGCTCGTCGAAGCAGGGGAAAGCTTTGCGTGCATCAGCCGCCTGCATCTGCGTGGTGGCCACCACCTGCCTGTGAGCCAGCCCCATCAGTCCTGGGGGTCCCTGTGGAGGCCGCACGCCCCAGTCCCCTGTCTCCCATCGCCACTGGAGCGGCATGAGGATGCAAGGGGGGCACAGAGGCTCCACACACCCATCCCATGGCCCTGGTGGGAGAGGAGCCCCAAAGCCAGCCCATGCCCTCCACTGCCCTGTGCCAGCCCCGTGCCCCCATTCCCCTTCCCACCACCACACTGGGCCAGCCCCGTGGCTTCCACCCCATCCCCTGCCTTCCACTTACTTGATGCCTGACTCGTCCGTGTATTCGCTGCGATAGAAGCCAGCCAGGTCATCGGCCAGCTCCCCGGTGAAGTTGCTGGACAGCCGGTACCGCTGGCCCTGCTGCAGGGGAGCCTCCAGCTGCACCACCAGGTACTGCGTGGTATTCTCCAGCCAGGTGCTGGAGATGGCAGGGGCACTGCCATCACCCTCTGCCTTCAAGGTGGCATGGAAGGAGCCCTGCATGGTGTAGCTCAGTTTCTTGCTGTGGATGAGGATGAGGTTGGTGGCTTCCTCACACAAGAAGACCACGCTGCTGTTGCCCTTGAAGATGTACATGTTGTTGGCATCGGGCTTCAGGAAGGGCTGCAGGGACACCTCGTAGAACTCCGGCTTCAGCGTGGTCGGCAACCTCCACCGGTTCCAGGGGTTGTTGGGGGCAGGGGTGGTGGTGCTGGTGTCGGGGCTGGCCGTGGTGTTGCTGCCCACATCTGATGTCCCCTTGTTCTTTTCCTGGGCGTACACCACCGAGAGTGCAATGATGGTGGCCACAGCCCCCAGGCCCAGCACGATGGCCACGATGCCCACGGTCTTGCTGATGAAGAAGCCGCCTGCCATGGCGGGCAGCAGGAGCGGCACTGGCAGAGACGGCGCTGGTGCAAGCACGGCTTTTAGCCTCTCGCTCCCACGAGGTTTATTAGTCCAAGTTAATGGGTGAAGGATTAAATGGGCATGGGGTTCAGGGCGGCGACAGACCCTGGGATGAGCTTTCCACCCACCCGCCCCCCAGCCTGGCAGGAGCAGCAACGCCCGGCGCCGCTGCTGCAGGGGCAGAGCTGGCAGCGGGGGGTGGCACCATGGGGGAGCGTGAGCGGGCGGTGTGCCTGGACCCCGGCGTCCTGCCCCAGCGCTGGCCTGGCCCTGCAGAGGGAGGGACAGAGCGGGTGGTCGCAGCCAGCAGCCACATCCCACCATGCAGCGTGTGTCCCCATCAGCCAAGCTCAGATGCAGGCTCAGTGTCACCCTGTTCACCCTCGAGCGACACTGTCAGAGGGTCCAGGCCTCTGACAGTGCCCCGGCGTGCGGGGGGCACAGCTCACAGGCTGCCCCACCCAGGGAAAGCTGGGCAGCGTGGTGCAGCACAGGGGCCTGGCAGCTGCGGGGGAATGTGGGGAGGGACACTTGGGCGGGGCTCCTCTGCTCACAGCGCTCTCAAAGTCCAGGGTCAGGTACCTGGAGGCAGCGGGGTCAAACTCCATCCTTGTGAGCCCAGCCCCAGTGGGCACAGGTGAGGTCCCCACCCAGGGTGGGGGTGACACATCCTGTCACACACTGGGAAAAAATAGGAAGTCCTGTTCTCAGGATCTAATCAATCTCTCCATAGCGAGATATGGGCAGGTGCTGCCAGGAGCCACAGCTGGGGCAAAGGGCAAACCAGGATGAGTGAGTGGTGTCCTCAGGGAGTCCTTGCCCTGTCCCTGACAGCACCCAGCTGCACCTGCCGGGGCCACCGTGCCTGGCACAAATCACTCTGGATGTGCTGCTGTCCCTGGCACTCCCTGTTAGGCACAGCCATCCCCCAAGCCCAGAGGTGACTGCTGGCTCTCTCAGTCCCATCCCCACCCTGGCTCTGGCCAAAGGCTTTGGGGACAGTCCCCCAGGGGCCCAAGGGCACACAGGTGGCTGGGAGGGTGTCAGGCACTCTGCACACCCCCTGGCCCTCCCCACAGCCCCTTGGGCACAGCATGCAGGCATCCCCCACTGGCTGGAAGGAGTGAACGGGGAGCAGCAGACGCAGCACCCACACCCCGACTCCCCCAGCCTGCAGGACTCTGTCCCCAGCCCCAGGAGACCCTCTCTGGAGCCCAGCCAGCAGCACACACACCTCCCACAAGCGGCACAGATGTTGGGCGTCACCCCCGGAGCACGTGGGTGCCTTGGGGCTCTGGCCTCACACACCCCACAGCCTGACACCCCCCAGAGCCCTCCACACCGTCATGCACCCCCCCAGGCCCCGCATTGCATAGGGGCCCCATAACCCCCATGTACGTGAACCCCACTGCTAGCCCCACACCCCGCGGCCCCTGCAGCCCGCGGAGCCTCCGCAGCAGCAGCGTGCCCGCTCACCTTCCTGCGCTCAGCCGGGGCAGCGGGGTCCCGCCGCCCTGCTGCCGCTCCTGCCCGTGCCGCTGCCCGCCTGTGCTGCCGCCCGCCCCGGCTGCGAAGGGAGGAAAGCTTCCTCCGAAGCGCCAGGGCAGGAACCCGCAGCTCTCGCCCCCTTAACCTCCTGTCTGCCGGCGGCGGGGCGGCACGGCGCGGGGCAGCGAGGGGAGAGCTGCCGGCAGGGGCTCTGCCGCCCGGAGCAGGGCGAGGAGGCAGTTTTAGGGGAAAAGCAGGGCGAGGAGGCAGTTTTAGGGGAAAGGCTGCTGGGGAAGGGCCTGGCTTGGGGAACACGCTCCGGCGGGCAGGGCTGAGCGCAGCCAAACCCGGCACCCGCGGGTGCCACAGCGCAGCGCAGCCGGGGCAGGCGGTGGGCTGGGGCCCGCAGCCGTGCCCGGCACCCAGGGCTGCGGCCCGCAGCCGTGCCCGGCACCCAGGGCTGCGGCCCGCAGCCGTGCCCGGCACCCAGCCCCATCTCGGCACCATGAGGGGCTCGGGGCGGCAGCCGCTGCCCCACAGCCCTTCAGAGGCTGCGTGGCCCGGCTCGCTGTGGGCTCTGCTGAGGCAGCCAGCGCAGCCCCCTGGGCACAGCCCTGGCCACCGCCTCGGGGCTGCGGCTCCGGGGGCTGGGGGCTCCCCGGGCCGGGGGCTCGGCCCGGCTCATGCCAGCCTCAGCCCGAGCCTGGAGCAGAGAGCGGGCCGGCAGAGAGGCCGCCCCGGCCCAGCGCGGCCACGGGCCTCAGGCCGGCTCGGCCGGGGCCGGCGGCAGAGCGGCCTCGGGCGCTGCGCAGGCAGCACGTGTGGCCGGACACAGCCCTGCCGGCGGCTCGGGATGCTTGGCCGGGGCCGGACACGGGCACTGCCCGCCGCAGCCCGGCCCCGCAGCCCGGCCTGGCGCAGAGCACCTCGCCGTGAGGTGAGCAGGAGCGTTCCCCTCCGACTGTCCCAGCCCCAGGACATGGCCCCGGCACGATGGCTCACCTGCACGCTTCGCCGGCACCTACTAGAGGACGAGGACGAGGAGGAATAGGGAAGCAGAGGAAGAGGAGAGCCAGTGGAGAAGAGGACACAGCAGGTAGCCCAGCTCCTTGACCTCCAGGAGCGCTGGTGTGGCTAGTGGCCAGCTGGGGAAGGGTTAAGCTGCAGGGAGGGGAAATTCCTTCCAGGCAGAGTCACGGTTTCCCTGCCAGGGGAAGTGGAGGCAGAACCCGGAGCACAGCTGGGGAGCAGAGGAAGGGCCCCTGGCCAGCCCAGGGGCTGGTGGCCAGATGGAGCCGCGGCGGAGCCAGGGGCGTGGGGTACACGGCTGACAGAGCCCATCAGGGTCACTGTGACCCCCAGAACCAGCCCTGCTCCTCCCCAGCCTCAGAGGACCCCAGCCCCACGGGTCCCACACACCCACAGAGCTGTCAGAGCTCACGGGTCCCTGCAGAGGATGCTCTGCAGCAGGGAGAGGGTAGGAACTGGCAAGGGGTGACCTGGCACCAAAGGCCCAAAGCAGGAACACCATCACAGCTTGAGCAGGGCCATCACCCTCCCCACACCTGCTCCGAGAGCAGAGCGTGCAGCCAGGGACCCTGCCCTAAGCCCCCTGCCCTCCCCTGGGGCATCTGGGGCCCCCTTTCCCACCCCCTGGGCCTCTACCAGCCAAAAGCCCCCCAGGGCTGCAGCCGCCCCAGGAGAGCTGCACAGAGCCCCCGGCCCCTTCCCCGTCCAGCAGCACCCACAGCAGACACAGACACGGGTTCAAGGGCAGTTTATTGGGACACAGGGACACACTCCAGCAGCCCCAGCCCGGCCTGACCCTGCAAGCCCCCCAGGTCTCTCAGCTCCCCTCCCTCTTGCTGCCACATCCCCGCTCCAGCATGACCCCTCACGCGGTCCCCAGGGCACACAGCAGCTCCCATGAGTGACCCCCACCCAGCTGGGGCCCATCACAGAGAGCAGGACCAGGGCAGGGGACAGCCATGGCTGGGAGGATGGAGGAGACAACCTGCAGCTCCTGACAGAGCCGTCACTACAGGCACACTTTCACCTCTGGGAATGCCAAGAATCCCAGGAGAGGCAGGAGCCAACTCTTCCCCACAGCGAGGAGTGGCTGCATGTCCACAGGGAGGAAGGAAAGGAAGAGCAGCCTCCTTGTTGGGGGACCAGGGAGCAGAACTGAGCCCAGCTCCAGAGGGAGGGACCGCCCACCTCGTTCTCTGAGCCCTGTCACTGCTCTCTGCCCTCGGCCACCATCAGCCCCTGTGTGTGCAGAGCCCCGGGAGGAGCCGGGACCCCAGCTCTGCCTAGCAGGCAGCCCCCCAGCACGGGCTGCTCACATGAACTGTGACAGATTGGGCACTTTGATGTTGATGTCCCCGATGTTGATGTTGCGGGGGATCTCGGGCAGGTTGATGTTCTTCACTGCCGACACAGCACGGGAAGGAGCAGCTGAGAGGCCTCCCTGGGGACAGAGGGACCGTGACCACTGGCCCCACCCCACAGCCCCTCCACAGCATCTTCATTATAAACCTTTAATGGCCTGGGCTATTAACCTTGACAAAAGAACCACTTCCAGCAGCTCCCCGCACTCCTGACCAGCGCCATGGGCTGTGCCCAGCCCCATCCCGAGGGCTCAGGCAGGCAGACGCTGGGAGTACCCTGGATATCCCCCCACGCCCACCCCAGTCCCCGTGGGCCAGCCCCCTCGCAGCCCAGGGTCTGTCAGCTCCCGCGGGGCAGGGCTGCAGTGTCACCGCTCACCTCTGCCTTCTCCAGCTTGCCCTGCGCCTCCACCTGCGCCACAATCTCGTTCATGTTGGTCTCCAGCACCATCCCGCCGATCACCATCTCCTGCAGGATGTGGTGGACCTGCCAGGGAGGGATGGAGGGAACAGAAGGCTGAGGGCCGCTCCTGGGAGCATGTCAGGGGCCAGCATCTCCCCAGGGGACACAGTTCTACCCCTGTCCCCTTCTGAGGGCCAGGGGGAGCCCCAAAGCTCCGCTTACCACCTGTCCCCACTGGAGATGACACACACCCACCAGGCCCATGGCAGCCCCTGCAGCAGCCAGATGCAACTGGTTCCACTGGCACAGCCTGGCTGTGCCACCCCCGGCACATGGCTGCTCCCTCCCTGGGCCAGGAGCCAGGTTACAGCAGGAGCGTGTCCTAGAGATGACCCAGCAGGCAGCAGTGTCCCCACTGGGAGGACACTTCTCCCCAGAAGCTCCTTCTCAGAGAGCCAGGCCATGGCCTGGCCTCCCTGCTGTCTCTGAGGAAGGTTGGGACTGTGACATGGGCACAGAAAAAGCGCAGAGCTGCCAAGGCAGTCTGCTCCTTCTGGGATCCCTCAAGTTCACGGATGAACAGCCAGGCAGGGCCAGTGCAATCACACAGCCAGAGCAGGGAAAGGAATATTGCTGAGTGGCAACCCCAGAAATTGCAACCAGCCCCGAGGCGGCAGCCAGGCTGTGCTGGTGGCTGCAACCCCCTTCAGCTCTGCACCTGGCTCAGCTCAGCATTGTCTGCAGAGTCAGCAGTTCCCAATGAGCCCCCAGCACAGATAATGGATTTATGGGACCCAGTTGCTTCCGTGAAAGAGGCTACACAGGAGCACAGTTGGGTAACGAGATTGTTTTATGGTTTCACAGAGCCAGGCTGCACTAGTAAACACCTTGTGACTAACACTGTCAGGACAATCCTGGGGAGAATAAAGAACACGAGAAAACGTGCTCTGAGGGGCAGTCCCAGCTCTGTGACCCAGCCCAGGGCTCCCACAGGTCCTGCAGCAGCAGCAGGTGTGTGGGACCAGCAGGGCACAGGGTGAGCCCCAGGCAGCTCCTGGGACCCCCCACAGCCCTGGGACCCCCATCCCACAGCCCAGTCCCAGTGCATGCCAAAGCAGCTGGAGCAAGTGGCTCCTGCAGCCTAAAAGGATATGGGAGCATCAGGAAACGTTGCTTCAAGATCTGGCTTCAGCCCAAGCTGGCTCCAAACCAACAGGGCAGAAATCTTGAGCAAGTTTTGTTTTCCAAGCCAAAGCACAGCACTTCCTGAGGAATCTGTGTCCCCTCTGGGAGCCCGCAGCTGCTGAGTGCAGCTCACACTCCCCTCCAAGGTGGAAAGCGTGGCTGAGAGCTGGGCATAGCCCACCCTGAGCCCCCCTTGGCACAGGGCACCCCTGCAGCTCTGGGCTGGGGCTCCCAGCATGGGCAGCTACCAGCACTGGTGTCACTGGTGCCTGACCAACGTCCCCCTCCACTGGCCCATGGCAGGAGCAGGACCCCAGGAGCAGGACCCCGGTCCCATGGCCCTGTGCTGCAGGCAGTGCAAGGTGGAACTTAAGGCAAAAAGAAAAATTACAGAATGCAGCCAAAGTTGCACCTGAACCCTGCCACCCCCTGCCCAGGGAGACATTCACAGCCCTGTCTGGGGACACACTCATGGCCCTTCCGGGGGACACACTCATGGCCCTGCCTGGGCATCCCAGGGGTCAGCCCGGACCCAGCAGGACACAGCAGCACATTCCCAGCACCCCAAACACTTCCCTCTGCAACCCAACTCCGGGAAGCACAGGAACATGAGCACATCTGAGAAATAAACATGTGCCAAATATAGAAAGAGACCGGAGGAGCAACTGATAATGGCCAAGAGTTGAGTCAAAGCTGGGAAGCAGCAGGAGCATGGGATGGGCAGGGCTGGCAGAGCCTGGGTGACCGAGCCGGGGTCCCCACTACCAGAAACCCCCAATTCCCCTCTCCTGAGAGTGTTCTTCTGGCAGGAGAGGTCAGAGGAAGGTGGCCCCAGTGCTGCTGGCAGAGGTGTCCTGTGCCCTGCCCGAGGGCTGCGGGCTGGCCGTGGGGGTCAGTGTTTTACATGCAAAGCTCATGTAAAGCTGAGAGTAAGGCCGAGTGGAAAGCTGCTGGGTCCTGCCCCTCCCACAGTCAGTACCCATGAGCATATCCTCCCCCAGCTGTGGGCAGAGGTGACCTGGGCAGCTGCCAACACTTCTCCCACAGCTGCCTGGCCCTCCTTCCTCCTTTGATAAACACTTTTGCTGACAAGAAAATTATGTTGTGGCATTTTGGAAAGCTTGCAGCAGGGCAAACAGTGAAACCAAAGCCCAACCTCAGCAACTGGTAACATAGAGACTCCCCAGACCTGCTCACTCCCCCTCCCTGCCAGTTCCCCAGCTAGAATCACGAATGGAAAGGGAGCATTTTACACATTTTTTCCCCCAGTGCTCTTTTTTGTTGATATGTTTTTGTCTACAGCAAAGCAAGAAAATCTTGATCAAGCCCAGCACCCTGAGCCAAGCCTGTCTCTGCTCCAAGCTATTCCTGGCTACCTATCCCCAGCTATCTGCAGCCTTGTGACCCAGGGCATGATCAAAGAGGACGGCTCCTGCCCAGGATCTCCATCCGGCTCAAGAGGAAGCATTGCAGGCTGTGGCTCAAACCGAAGTTTACCCAGCACTTTGAATTCCAAACACTCCCATTGTTCCTTGCCGTTTTTTCCCGGCAGCTGTAGTAAAATGTTAACTCCCACGAGGTGCCACAGCCTGGAGCAGAGCAGAGCGCCCCAGCGCCAGGCCAGAGTCTGCCCAGCTGCAGCAGTGCTGCCTGTGGGGCACAGATGTGTCACCTGGCAGCCCCAGGGCTGGGCACGGCTGCCCCAGGCTCCGAGCAGCCCAGCACGGGGGTCTCTCCTTGGGAGGTCATGATGTGAGTGCCTTTCAAAGAACATGGGCTGAAAGCTTCCCATACAGGACCTCCGTCCCCCCCAAAGTGACCCCTGCCAAACCCACACTCTCCTGGCCTGCCCCAGCCCAAGAAATGCAGGCTCTGGAGCAGCCCCGAGCCCAGCACGCACCTTGTCCATGTGGAAGATGAGGTCCAGCTCACAGACATTCTCAAAGCACTTGTCCAGCGTCTCCACAAACACCTGGGCAGCAGAGAGAGAGCAGGCAACAGGGTCACACCAACACCATGGAGCACTCCAGGCATGGGACAGCGCGACTGGGAACCTGGAGAAGGAGCTAGACTGGCTGAACATGAGCCCAGGTGTGTCCAGGGGAGCAAGAGGCCAATGGCACCTGGCTCGTGTCAGCCCCAGCATGGGCACAGGCCCAGGGCAGTGCC